AAAAAATTCGTCTCGACGAGATCTTCGAAACTAGATCCCATGTTGATATATTTTGATGACTTTTTTTCGGACCAAAAGTTACCACCTTTGGGCTAGGTAAGTTATCACGTGTGTCATACATAAGTTACTGCGTCATTTACACAAAATTTTCGGGATATATTTTCAACAAACTTTTATCCGAGGGTCAAAAAGTGATTATGTTGTTTATAGTGAGTTATAGCTTTGTTGTGTATATTACCATGTAGCACAAAAGTTATCGGGGTATGGTTTTCAACAATTTTCATTCCATCGGTCAAAAATTTACCGCAATATTTGTATATGAGTTATCAGCTCTCATGTGTGTGTATTATCATGTTGTTTACACATGAGTTATTCGAAGGTATTTTTTAAGAACATTTCCCTGTTTAAAAAGTTACCACATCTGGATTAATTAAGTTATCAGCTCTGTTGTATGTATATTATCATGTTATTTACACACAAGTTATCAGGGTATGTTTTCAACAAACTTTTATCCCGGGGTCAAAAGTTACCGTTGGGTTTGTAGTGAGTTATCAACTTTATTGTGCGTATAATACCGTGTTATTTCCACACAAAGTACCGGGAATATGTTTTTCAACAAATCCCACCCTCCCCCCTTCCCCCGCGCAGTTCACCTAAGTATAAGGTATGCAGTGCTTCTATTACCGTGGTATTCACGCAAACGTTATCAAGGTTATATTTTTCAATAATTTTCCTTGGGGTCCAAGTTATCATGGTGTTTGTACCTAATTTATCATGTATATGATGCGTTATTACCATGATGTTTATACAAAAGTTACCAGGGTACATTTTTGACAACTTCTTTCCTTCGGGTCAAAGTTGTCGTGGTTGTTTGTGCCTAAGTTATCAGGGTTGCCATGTAGAAAATACCATGTTGTTTACAGATAAATTACCGGGGAGATGTTTCAATAATTTTTTCATCCCCGATTGAAGTTACCATGACATTTGTATGTAAGTTATCGGGTCCCGGTGCACAAATTACCATGCCGTTTGCACAGAAATTACTGGGGTATGTTTCAACCCAGAAAATCCTTCATGTGAAGTTGCCATGATATTTACAATGAGCCTACATGAACAAGGTATACAACCAATTAATGTATGGAAGACTACAAGACAACTTGAGAAATCCAGAAAAAACACAAGAACAAAAATGCTTTTTTTAGCTCATATGAAAGTGAAAAAAGCTTAACTATCATATTTCTACATATTGAATGTATCCAATTGCTAGCTGAGTTGGTTAGTCATGCATGCCACGGATAATTAGGAACCCATTAATCATGCCAATTAGGATAGGAGGGAATTAAATCGTGCTAATTACGCATAATTAGAAACCCATTAATCATGCCAATCAGGATAGGAGGGAATTAAATCGTGCTAATTAAGAGTCGGATCCGGCTTGCCTGCTCCCTCGCCATGCTCCCATCCGTGCTTCCACTCCATCCTACGGCTGTCTTTTTCTCCTTTTTCTTTCTAATCTAATCATCTCCCCCCTGATTTTAAGGGGGTGGGGCCGGACCTTATTTTGTTCCAATTAAATCATGCCACGTATGCGGGAGCATGAATGGAAGCACGCTAGGAAGCAGGCAAGTCTCGTCCTTAAGAGTCAGGAGTAAATCGAGTTAACTAATAAATTCCGCGATTAAAAATCAGGTCAATCCATGTATTCCGTAATTAAAATCCCGTTAATTAAGGAGACACAAAAAAACAGAATTACGGGAGGCTCCCGCGATAAAAAAATGATGGCATCCAGATCGGTCGGACCTATCATAAAGATCTGAACGTTTGGAATTTACAAATTTTTGGACGAGTAATTTCAAACGGAGGAAGTAGTAGAGATAACCCAATATTCGAGTGATAGCGACTAGTAGCGTCACATTGAGGATCTAACATTACTTTAGTTTCTGAAGAATTTGATATCTGAATGTTTGAATCTCACACGACACATTATCCAAAGGGTTTGTTTAGGTCTCAGTCGGCTAACATCACCTGTTTTTTTTTGTTGCTTTTTTGCTTTATTGTCCAGCCTATACCATGTCACCTTTGGTTCCTTTTTGGGCCGCCCTGTTTGTCTTTGCTTTGTGTGTTTTTGAGCTGAGTTGGGCCAGAGATTGGGCAGTATTTTTGTTCCGTGCTGCTGCTCCATTGACTACGTGTGGTGCACCGGGCGGATGTATTAGTTTGTTGTTCGTGCAAAAACAATTAACATGCAGTTACTATCTATTTTGTCCGGTTTTACTTTTCTTTTTTCTCCTTCCATTCTTATTTATACTATTTTTGTTCTAGAAAATGTGAGCATTAGTCGTGATATTTTTTTAAGAAATATGTTCATGCATTTTCACAAATATTAATCATGTATTTAAAAAAATTAGAGTGCCATTAGAAAATGTACAATATTGTTTAAAAATATTCATCATGAAATTAGAAAAATGTTTAGCATTATTTAATGATGGTTTTTCCTTGCATTTTTTCTTAGATTGGGTCTCATCTATTTGTAGTTTTGTTATCATCCACAAATTGACAATGGTACTACTAACAAAATAAGAGAGCCAATCATATTCAGTTACACATGCGATGCAGAGGTGCAACTGGATAGGTGTGTCACGTTTAAAAAAATCAAAACACCTCTTTTTAGAGAAACAAAAAAATAAAAAGAAAAGATATTAAATAAGAAAAAGAAAGTAAATAATGGGGTGTGGATACGGTCCAGTCGATTGAGATCTAAATAAGTCTTAATCAGCAGGCATCAGGGCAATATGCAGGTGTACTCCGAGATGACATTTGCAATTGTAGACCTAGGTGCGACACTTGCAGTTGCATTCCTAGTGCCGGACATGCAACTGGCCCATTCCCTCTCCCGCCGCCCCCTCCAACAAAACAAAGGTCCAATTACAACCATGTTGGGGACATGTAGTTGCGGTCGGGTGCGACGCTTGCAGTTGCGGGGCTGTTGTCGAGCTTGCAACTGACATGCCCCCTCTCCCGGCATCCCCTCTGATAGAACAAAAAAGTCAAGTTGTGGTCGGGTTAAAAGACATGCAGTTGCGGTCGAATGCGGCACTTATAGTTGCGGGGCTGTTGTCGGGCTTGCAAC